ATTCTTTTATCTAGCTACTTCCTGCTTCAAAAGTGTTCAAGCAAAGTAAAACGGTTAACTACGGAGTCCCAACCCCCCACACCCATGTATTTTACTCAATGTTCATTGGTTCTCCCATCTGAACCTCCCAGCTATCATCTCAGTTTTATCTCCTTCATGGAAGTCTCTGGAAGCCCTCTTCCACTATTTCAGGTTTTGATATTACTGTGTATTATCTCTTTATTTTACACGGACCACATTATACTTTAGTTATCAGAATAGCAACACAAAACTGGTATAAAGCACAGACTAACCAGTCTGTCTGTATTCAAATTATAACTCTACTTATTAGTGTGACCTTGAGCAGTTTGCCTACCAATATGTGCCTCAATTCTCTCTTTTGAAAATGGGGATGGTTGGGCCTCCTTGGTGGCCCATGGGGTTAAGGTGCAGCACTATGAAGCTATCTGCAGCCACTGCAGCACAGGTTCCATGCCTGGTCAGGAAGGTGACCCTCATGGGGCAGCAGACTTCTGTCCCACCCCTGCTCTTCTCAGCAGTGTACTTCAGTTGACCCCCCTGTTCTGCTCCCCACTCTGTCTCTGGTGAATCCTCTCAACTCCCCCCACCCCACATCTCTGGCCTGCACCCCAGCACTAGTATGCATAAATAAATTAAAAAAAAAAAAAAGAGGGATGGTAATCCTTCTTAACATTTATATTGCAAGACAGTGTCTGTTGCAGAGTAAAGCTAAGAACCAGCTACCACAATTATCTATGTGTTGGTGTATATTGTAAACAACTTGAAAGGGAGAAGTATGGAAATGGTTTGGTCATTTCTCTGCAATATTAGCACTTAGTAAATGATGAGACAGCTCTATGATGGGAAGGATGACCCATATTCTTCCTGCTAGCAGATTCACACATTTTGAAACTGCATTGTTTCCAATTCTGTGGCTGCAATTTTTTTAGTAATTCTAAGCAAAATGCTGAAAATTTCACATTCCTAAGTCAATGAAATGACCAATTAAAAGATATCACAAATATGCTCTTCTAAGAGGAATCTACTTCTAAACCTTAGATGTACTTACGACTGAAGATTCCCCCTCATCAAAGCATCTAACACAGTAGAACGCTTCCTGCTCTCCCACGTGCTAGTCCCTTTGTGTAGAACCTTTTCAATGTCCAGCATGAAGTTCTTTCTGATCTCAAAGTGAGGCAACTGACAACTCTTCTACACTTCCAAAAGCGCATACATACATACATACATACAAACAGGGATGCTACTGAGATCTCTTACGGCATTCATGGAAGGGATTATAGTTATGTGGATCCCCTGCTTTGCGATAAGCAGTGAGTGGACCAAGACATTCTGAGTCTTCACTGCATCCCTATGCCTCTAACAGTTGCCTGACATTCAGGTGATATTTCATCAGTTTTTGAATGAATAAATGTTAGAGTAGGTAAGTTTTACTTCATGCATCAAATTTTTGCATTATTTCAACCAAGTGGTCAAATTTTTGCCATGCAATTTTCCACACATTATTCAACTGATTCTCACAACAGTCCTGAGGCAGGGCTTTTTATTATTTTCATTTTGTAAAAAATGAAATTTTTTGGTCAGTGGTGGGTATGCCCAAAATTGCTCATTTTGGAGGAATTCAAACTGGAGGTGAAATTCAAACTGACTGTTTCAGAGCCCTAAGTTTCAGTTGTTATAAAACAGACAACACTGTTTCTAGCAATGACTATTAACTGGAGTGTCCCTTTGGAACATTCTAAGCATTCTAAGTTACCTCATCCTCAATGCCTCATGTTACGGGTAGAGTACCCTGTTCTTTCCCACTTTCTCCTTCAATCTTACTCCCATGCCCACTAGAGCAAGCCTTCCACTAATACTAAAGATTTAAGATGGGAATGAAGCATTTCACTTAAGTCTAAAATGGATTTTGAATATTTTACATAGAAAACAATTTTGGGTTGGTTATTTCTTTAACTTTCCAATTTTATTTTGAAAGTGATTTTAAATTAAAAAATCAGAGCAATGTGAAAAAACTCCTGCCCCCACCACCTTCAAATAGCCAATGTTGTAATTAACTACCACATATATTTTGGGGCCTTGATTTTAGAACATCAGCTACTTCACAGCTCATTCTTGAATATACCAGTTAAGGCATACGTGATTTTGTACTGTCATCTCTTATACTTACTATACAAGTAATTCTGTATACTTAGAATCTAAAATAGGTACCAGGTTGTTCTATGCCATAGCTCAAAACAGCCATTAATTCCCTTCTTTAATTTCCTTTCGATGTGACCCCTCTACCTCTGAATATTGATAAGAGGAAGCCCTCATTCCCATACCAGCACAGGGTAGCTTGGCAGTGGTCTTCATTCCTTCTCAACTATATATTATTAAACTCTTTACAAATATGAGGGTTTTGTTGAGTTTTAATGAGGTTGGTCTGTATAAATCGATCCATCAGACTGGACAGCAGCATTAAAAAAGTATGAATACTAGCTCACCAAAGTATAGAACTTTATAAGGATACAGCTGAAATAGGTGCCCTGATGTCTTTAAACTTTCATATCTGTTCCTTAATCTTAGAACTTTGAACCAGCCTAAGGCAAAAACATTCTCTTTTCTTTACCCAGCTAATTCTCACTAGCCTCTGAGTGATGAGCAGAGAACAAGAGCCCATGAAGCATGACAGCTCATCTCTAAGCAGGGTGAGGGACTAACAGCAGCACGGTTATGATCAAATGCTGGCTTCTCTCCTCTGAATAGTGATTATCTCTTTCAGGAGTGGGAGTCAAAAGATTTCCATTTCTGTATTTCATGTACTTCAGTATTGGTTGAATTTTTACAAAACACGGATTTTTATATTTCCCTTTTGAGAAAAACTAAATGTGAGTTAACTTTTAATATGGCTCAAAGTAATTTCAATATTTTATGGTAAAAAATACTGCATATAAAGAAAGTATCAAGAGAAAACATCTTAGAAAGACCAAAGTCACCTTTGCAAGCAGATCTTTTTCAAATATACCTCAATTTTGGGGAAGACAACACTGTGCTTTAAAAATAAAAATTTGTATCTATTTTCCTATATTCTTATCCCAAACGATTTCCCGCTTGGTGTATAATAATCACTTATGCTATTAATCACTTAATAGCATAATCATTTTCTCTGGCTGGAGAAGTGGCATGAAAACAGGCATTTCTTATCTTCTGCCCATTAGAATGGGAAATAGTTCTACAAGAACACAGAGACACGCTTTAATAGGATCCATGAACTGTACCTTCACTAGGGCCTAGCATAGGAGAATGAGGAAGCAGTACAAAAATTTAGTAATGTTAAAGCAAAATCAAAGCATAAGATCAAAAACAAGTGGTTCAGGCTGTTCATATCCTGCTAAGGTTCTGGTTAGATATGGTTTCTCTTTTCTCTGACAATGATACACTAGGATTACCCCCTCCCCTACATAGCAGTTCATCCTACAAGGGGAGGGAGGCATAGAAAGGCTTTAGGGAAGACTGCTCAATCTGAGTTATTTTGTACGAACATTGGTCATAATGGAGATATCCTGCTTTTTAAATGAGTATGTTAATTGGGAACCTTGTGTAGGGTTCTCTTCATTAATCTTCGGAAAAAGTATTTTCACCTCCCCATGCTTCAATTTTCTGTTCAAGATGAGCCCCCACCTAGGTTCTTATAGCTATTCTGTTATTACAGAGACTTTATATTAGACACCCAGCAAATAATTCAAAAGGGAAATTCTGAGGTTCTGATAGTCAGCCATCATTCAATCTTCTTCCTGCGCCCGCCCCGGTTCTCCCCCTTTCTCCACATCATATCCATTTGCACCAACAAAATTTCACAGAATCTAATTTCTCTATTTAAAAGAAGGCCCTGGTTGCTTTGAACTTAAAAGAACTACATCCTTCACCAAATCTGCTCCAAGGTACCTTGAACTTCAGTTCAAAAAACTATTCTGAGTTGCCTCAAAAAGCCTAGGACCGCTCCCTGAATTCTAGTTCAAAGGGAAAGTTGTTCCTGGAATAGTCTTGTCTACCCTGATATGTACCGTGTAGAAATACACTCAGGCCAGTGGAGAATCTGCGCGTGCTTACCAAGCTGAGGCTTGATTTAGTAATATTATTTTATTACACACACACAAATACCCAACTGTCTCCAGAAAACATCAAGGACTTGTAATAACCTCTCCCTGACGCTCCCAATTTGGAAACTGTCACGCTAACCTTTCATACCGTGCAGACGTGTTACTTAGGTAGAAAGAGAAACTGGGAGGGGGGCTCAGTTCAGACCCATGTCTACATATTTTACTGGTAACGACTCTAGCTCTACACCCAACACATTTATCGAACACTAACAGAACTTCTATTAAGTGCCCGCCACTGGAAATGAAAGCACTTTCTTCCCAGGAAACAGATCTTTTCCACTGAAAATTTCCAAACCCAAGATCTATCACTTTTTGCTGAACAAAAAGCGTGTGTGCCGGCAAGAGGGGGTGGGAAAGCGTGGCAAGAATTTGCACGGCTCTTACGCCTCCACCCTCGGAGCGCGCCCAAGTCTGCGGCCTCGGGCTCCGGGACACTTCCCCTCCCACCAGCCGAAGAGCCGCAGCTGTAAGTTGAGAGAAGCGGGCTCTGGGCATGTCAATCAACCGGGTCCTCCCGCCTCCCGTCTACACCTCCCTCCCCTCCCCCCCCCAAAAAAAAGAGAAAGAAAGGGAAAAGAAGGTAACTAATTTGTGAACTAGTCTCTGCGAGGGCTTCGCCTCGACCCGTGGAGGCCGCTCGTTCCGGAGCGGCGGGCAGCGGGCGGCGGGGTCGAGCAGACGGCCCGACAGCCGCCCGTCGCCAGGTCCTCGCGGCGCGTCCGCCGCGCTCCGGCTCCCCGCACCGGTCGGCGCCGCTCCGGCCCCGCACTTTGCCAGGCCCGCCGCCCGCCCGCCCGGGCCAAAGTTGCGCAAATAGCCCCACAACTGGCAAATACTCACCGGCCGCCGCAGGAACCGGGGCTGCGGAGGTTTTAGGGAGTTTAAGGCAAATCAGCCGCGGGAAAGGCGGGCGGAGGCGAAGGGGCCGCGAGCTGCAGTGGCGGCAGCGCACGGCGCTCGGCGCTCGGGCTGGGCTGCGCGGAGAGGCTCTGGCTCTGCCAGGGACTGTGCTGCAACAAAGGACTTCCGCTGCCGCACAGCCGCGCCTGCCGCACCGCACTGAGCCGGCCCCGCTTACGCGGCGACTCCGGGTCTGCCCACCAGTTCGCTGCGGCGTCCGCCAGCCTTCCCCTCCCTCTCGCCCGCCCACCCACTCCGCCGCTGGCTGCTAGGGGCACCCGCGGTCGCCTGTTTGTTGCAACAAGTTTCTGCGTCGGGCTCCGGGGAGGCTGGCGCAACCCGCACCGCGGGGGCCGGCGCGGCGGTGGCTTGACCGCCCCTCTCGCCCCTCTCCCAAGGGTAGGCTTGGGACCTCCTCCTCCTGTTTGCACAGCTGGATGGGACTGGGCTCCTCCCGACTCCCCAAGGGCTGGATGCTGCTCTCCCACTCCGTCCAATGTCAGACCCCTACCCTAAGGGCCCGGCTGCTACGCCCGCCCTCGCCGCACGTCTCCGGCGTTCCGGGGGCGCCGCTCCCTTCGCCCTGTCCCGTGCGCGGCAGGTCCGTTCGGGGGTTGCCCATTTCCCGCGCTCCCCCCACGCTGCCTGCCATGGGCCTGTCCTTTTTGGCCCTGAGTCACTTCCCCCGCCGCGCCCCACCCCGCGCAGACCGCCTCCACTGCCAGACTCCCGCCGCTCAGCTTCCCTGGCCCCGCGCCCTAGCCCTCGCCCCTCGAACACGCGGGCGCACCCATCCCCGCCCCCACCCCTGTTTTGAGGGGGTGTCCGTGCTTTTTGCACACCCTGGGGAAAGTCCCCGGGTCACGCGGCTGTGTGTGGGGAGCCAGTGACGCTGAAGCTGGTCTCCACGCTTCCGCCTACAGAGTCACGACTGGGGACCGCCGCGGAGGCGCCCAGAGCGCGGGCCGACCCCCGCCTCGCCACCAGAGCGAGCAAGCCAAGAGGGCGGGCGGGCGCGCACGTACGCACGCAGGC